ATGCTCACGCGGATATCGTACAGTGTAGACTGCAGGGTAGAATGTGGAAAGACACGTGTGGAGGGAGAGGTGATACAAAATGGTATGGAAACACTTCATTTTCTCAACATAATACATGTATTTAATGTTTATTTGATAAGCAACAGTTATAAACAATATATTCTATTCTGTTGCAGTCAATTGTTCCTTTGCGTCTTTTGCGTACTTTTCGTCTTGACAGTAGTTGTTTGAACCAACGCGCAAGTTGTCAAGTCTGTGCCACATGTATTCAGAACGTGTTCAGAACAAGATGTAAACCAAATGAGAATAAAAATAAAACAAAAAGGAATTGACTGTATTTTCACACGTCATCTATGAATGTAGCCTACACTGATGATGGTTTCATGTTTGTGAGGACCATACCCCTGCTTGCGCTCTGAACCAAAGTAGGAATTGTATCTATGCCCTATATCATTTCGGGATTGATGGCTGATTTGTGTCTAGATGTGTTTGGGTGCGTGTAATAGAAGTCAGTGTCCAAGGTATCGACGAAGTCTTCTTCAGGATACACCTTAAGGTAGTCATCTTTTGTCTTGGACTTACCTGGGCTGATGCAATACAACATATTGTGCACACCTCTTGTATCCCCTAAATACGTCTCGATGTACTTGTACAGATCTTTCAAATCATCCGCTGTATTCTGAGTCTGGGTAGAGAGACCCCACCAAAACCATCCTCCGTTTAGTCTGTGAAGTGGTCGGAAGATAAATGAAATTAGTTTACCACTGAAGTCGGTTAGGTTAAGAGCCCTGTCAGCAATCTTGTCCGGGTTCTCCTTGCATTGTATATCAGGTTATAGTCTCCTCCAGGGAGGATTCCTTTAACTGTATGAAGAACATCCCCTGAATCTTGCTTCACCCATGGGGACCCTGCAGTGACGGGTTTCTTGAGATGTTGGGAAAAGGTTATAACTTGGCCTCTTGCATAAGCAAGCTTGGCCAGCTAGGTTGTGGTCAGGTTTGGTCATCTATAATTTAGTGTTAAAATGTTAAAATACACAGCTGGGTATTGTCCTGTTACACCTCTGGTGTCAGACAACTCATCGGGATACTCAGACAGTGTCCGTTTCTCCTGAAAATAAATACATGGTCTTTATTTTTTCACAAATGTAAATAGAACGTCAACGCTCGATAACAGCCTGTCTTGACGCTCTACCGATACGAATACCATTGGGAGCAAGGTAATTCCGGGGCGATAATTACATGAAACGGCTAACTAAAGATCACTTTCTACAAAAAGACATTGTTGGCGTAATGTCCTGGTGAATACAGGTTCAACACTACCAGACAATGTTGAAAAGTAAAGCATGGGAAGGGACAAGCTTGTACTCTGAGACATCGAAGTTCGACACAGCGGCTTTTGACTATTTGATATGCTTGAAAATATTTGGGTTTTGGCTTTGTTGATTTCGTTTTTCCGATGGGCATTTTGAACACCTACACCAAAGATGTATCCCTGCACATTGCCGTAAGCGTTTGGACCAAATATGGAGGATGCTCTTCTTGAACTCCCAATGTTGTGTCAGCATGATAGCCAAACATCACTTTAGAGAAGTCAGGGCTTTGATGTTCTTGTACAGGTTTTTAGTCTCCACCGTAGCATGCGGATCAATTGGCTCACGCTGGGTCACTCACCCATCGAGAAACCATGCAGCAGTTGGACACAGATGTCCCACTTCAGATAAAGCATAATGATTCCAAGCCGATTGTGATGCTGAGCAAGTAGCATTATTTAATGAGTGAGTGAGTTAATATTTATCGTCATAACGGCAATATTTCAGCCATATCGTGACGAGAACATTTTATAATTATATTAAAGATGAATAAAGTTAGAAATTAAAAAACCTGTTGACGAAGAACAGTAAAACTACTAGTGTATCACAGATATCCATCTAAAACTAGCAATTAAATCTAAAATATTGGAACTAGAAATGACAATACAATATAAAAACAGGCTGTAGATTGCTAACGACTGAAGGTAGATCACCATACTAGGGACCATGGGGACTTGGATTATAGTAAAATAAACACCATATCATGTATAGAATGGTTTGCCAATACATTCATGTGTGGAGTGAGTGAGTCAACAGTCTTCCATTCATATCCACAAGTGTCACGTTAATGGAAGGAAAGCCCGACAAGATGCAAACCAGTTACCACTTTCGTGAATCTGACGAGCACGGGTGTGGTGCTGACAAGCCCAGAAACATAATCGGGGCGAACAAGGATTCTAGCTCACAGGTGGACGAAACTTTCGGTGTCACTAGACGATTGGTTCACCTTGGCCCTCCAATATTTGCTACATGCTGCAATGAGGAAAAGAAGAGTGAGTGAGTGAGTTTGATTTTACGCCGCTCTCAGCAATATTCCAGCTATAGGGCGGCGCTCTGTAAATAATCGATTCTGGACCAGACAATCCAGTGATCAACAGCATGAGCATCTACGCAATTGGGAACCGATGACATGTGTCAACGAAGTCAGCGAACCTGACCACCCAATCCCGTTAGTCCCCTCTTGCGACAAGTATTGGTTGATGAAGACCAATTCTCACCCTGATCTTCACGAGTACAGCGAGAAGTAAATGAAAATACTCCCTACAATGTATGAATCTATGAGTTTAGTATTGTTGCAAAAAGCATTACAAACAAGAGACAGCTGCAGGATCCGCTTATACAATGCTTTTAATGTTACACAGTTGATTGTTGCCCGTGCATGCGTAAGTACATGTGCATATACAAAACCAGACGCATGTTCTCGCATACACACACAGACACATGTGCACACACCCGCACAAATACACACACATGGTTTCGTATCTGGTGTTGTCGGTTTATAATTTTCCTCATACAGGTTCACGGCTCTACGTTTAATGCCATTGCCCACAGGTTTGATATTCAATCAGATGATAACTACGTGCTGAATCCACAGGTTAAAAAGCCCTATATTGAATACACAGAAGTCTATTTACATTCTAAACAAAAAAAATTATTAGAAACGAAAAATACTATTTCGCTACCCTGCTTCAAAATGCATAACGATAAGTGGAGATAATGGATAACGAAGCATTGTTTTGTGTAATTTGGAAGCACAAATAGTAGCAATAGGACTGTAACAAGATGTTTATTGATAAAGCCTACAGTAAACTAATAATGCAGCATCGGCTACATGCACTATCAAATATGCAATCTTAAAAATGTTTCCTGTGTTTTAGGAGATGGGACCATAGAGAGAAAACATGATGCGATTAATACATTTAGGGAACCAAACACATAAGTAAAGCAGTCGCCCCCTCCATACTGACTGACTGGAGAGTATGTGCCACAGTGTTATGTGTTACATCAACTGCACCTACAATAGGAGAATAATAGCTACTGTAGTAGACGGTGTCTCTATACAGTCTCATGTTCCATGGGGTGGTGTTCAGTGTGGTTACCTCTGTACTCACATTATTGGACACAGTCATCTTCAACAATATTTTCACGTCATTAAAATACAACACACCTGCTGTCTGATCCAGGGTTACAGCATATATTTGGCTTCCTGTGGCTAATGTTGTCAGACCTTGACCATCATAGGTCACAGTGAACAGTTTCCCGCCATTACACCCGTATATCCTCTTTCTCTTCGCATCAAGAGCTATTTGCCTTGGACTACCACCGTACTTGGAAAGGTCAATGATAGCAGTGAAGTCTTTCCCCTGTGTAGACATGCGGCTGATTGAATGTGGAGTGTAGGTGGCTATGAATACGATGTCCCGATCTTCATCCACTGCCATGCCATATATCTCTACACGTTCTGTTAATACCGTCACGTGACGTGTATCCAGGGTGGATGACACAATCTTATTAGGGTTATATAATCCTATGAGAAGTCTGTTTGTCTTTGCTATATAGGCAAGGGAAGTCACCTGCTCCACGGTGTGATAAGGATAGACGCTCAGTGAGTTACTGTGAATGTTGAGTTGACGGAACTGATGTGGGGCGCTTGACCAGAGTGGAGCTATCAAAATCCTACTTTTCTCCTCCTCTGGTCTGGGTGTCGTTGTTGACACAGATGTCCTGGAGGTTGATGTAACATTTAGAGAAGCGGGGGTAGAAGGAGACACGGTGACATTCGTTATCAGCTTTGCCATTTGTGACTGACATGTCTCCTTCAATGTCGTGCATCGCTTGACGTCAGCTTTCAGACTGACAGTGGCAACATCACACTTCTGTAGTTCTATTTCCAGTCTGTGCTTTTCACTGATATCACTTGAGTTCTCTTGATTCCGTCCGTCTGTTTTCTCCAGGAAAGATTTCTGAAATACGACCATCTCGTCCTGGAATTCTTTGAGCGATCTTGAGACGTGATGAAACTGCCTCTTCAACTGATGATATCCCTGTTTCAGATGTCGCAATTCAGAGACAACCTGACCTTCCACCATGTCTTGAAGAGACTCTCCTTGTAGAATCTCGACCATGGCTTCTCTCACTTCATCCCGTATGCTTTCCTTTAACTCAGCTCTCAATGACATACCTGTGACATCTATGGTGTCAAGTAGTCTTTTCTCCATACGAAGTATATCCATCTTATTATCCAACAGATCCTCTTCAAACTGTTTCAGCTTGTTCAGGACAGATGCCATACTGTCCTGGCCACTGCAGGAACAGATTATGGAGGCACATGTCAACAACGTTGGAAGATACTTTAAGTCGGCCATCGTTAGGATTGTACAGTACTGAGATGTATTTGTCCGTAAGAGTGATGTGAACGTGCACCCCTCAGTATGGTTCAATGATTTTCTGCTGGTGACAGGTCGGCCTGAGGTACAGGTTTTATTTAAGGTTGTTTGGCTACCACGTGATATGCCAGAACACTCACGTATCTCTGTGTACATATATGTAGGACACAGCTCTGTCATTTCTCGTGATACATGTGCACACATCTTGACCCCTACCCTCAACGCCATTACCAGCTGTAGACCTACTCTAGTCTTGATTTTCCGTTATCAGTTGACCTGCTTACGCCCAGGAGCCTTAGTGATAAACAAACATTGTCATGAGGAATACAAAGTCCCGCGTGACTGGGTCGCGTTACATCTATAGACTATAGACTCATGGATATTTTATCCGGTACGTTCGTCAGATTGCGCTCATACCTCAAGACCTTAACAGTCATTGGTGGGGTTTGTTGGTTTGTACCCTGACTTTGTCCTTGTATCAAGCGATGTCAGTTTACACACTGTTGTAGTTGAATCTAGAGTTGTCAAGACGTATCACTGATGGTTACACGTTTGTGACACTCACATCTGCTGTAACAGTGACCACCCGGTGACGGTGGCATGTCTGTAAGTACAGGGGACCTAACTTCGTGCAAACTGGCAGCCCTGCCAAAGCCAGTAATTTCACTGAACCACTTCCTTTGTGTAAGTCAGTCCAACATGTGGTAGTTGCTCTGATGTTGTGTGGGTGTACTGTACGTGTTACCTATCTACAGTGAGGTTGTGTCGGTGGGACTTGCTTTGGTGAGGTTGTTAGTTATGACTTGCATGTTACTGAAGTCTATTGTTGGATATGGTATGCACATGGCTGCATTCTAGGGGTGTTGTTGGATCATGTGTAATGTAAGTTACTGAAGTCCTGTTAGTGTGGGTGTGACATACACGTTGCGAACTCTAGTGAGATTACTGGATGTGACATGCACGTTCATGAACTCTACTGAGGTTGTTGGGTGTGGCATGCATGTTGCTGAAGTGTAGTGAGGTTGTTGGGAGTAACATGCACGTTGCTGAAGCTTCGTCAGGTTGTTGGGTGTGGCTTGTATGTTGTTGAAGTCTGTTGAGGTTGTTTGGTGTGGCATGCACGTTGATAACGTACAGTGACGTTGTTGGATGTGGCATGCACGGTGAAAGCGTATAGTGACGTTGTTGAGTGTGACATGCACGTTGATAACGTATAGTGACGTTGTTGAGTGTGACATGTCCGTTGATAACGTATAGTGACGTTGTTGGGTGTGACATGCACGTTGATAACGTAAGGAGACGTTGTTGAGTGTGAGATGAACGTTGATAACGTATAGAGACGTTGTTGGATGTGAAATGCACGTTGATAACGTATAGTGACGTTGTTGAGTGTGACATGCACGTTGATAACGTATAGTGACGTTGTTTTGTGTGACATGCACGTTGATAACGTATAGAGACGTTGTTGAGTGTGACATGCACGTTGATAACGTATAGTGTCGTTGTTTGGTGTGACATGTCCGTTGATAACGTATAGTGACGTTGTTGAGTGTGACATGCCCGTTGATAACGTATAGTGACGTTGTTGAGTGTGAAATGTCCGTTGATAACGTATAGTGACGTTGTTGAGTGTGACATGTCCGTTGGTAACGTATAGTGACGTTGTTGAGTGTGACATGCACGTTGATAACGTATAGTGACGTTGTTGAGTGTGAAATGTCCGTTGATAACGTATAGTGACGTTGTTGAGTGTGACATGTCCGTTGGTAACGTATAGTGACGTTGTTGAGTGTGACATGCACGTTGATAACGTATAGTAACGTTGTTGAGTGTGACATGCCCGTTGATAACGTATAGTGACGTTGTTGAGTGTGACATGCCCGTTGATAACGTATAGTGACGTTGTTGAGTGTGACATGCCCGTTGATAACGTATAGTGACGTTGTTGAGTGTGACATGCACGTTGACAACGTATAGTGACGTTGTTTGGTGTGACATGCACGTTGATAACGTATAGTGATAACGTATTAACAGTCTCTACGTCGAGGCAGATGAACCGTCTCTTACACAACGCCGTATAAAATTGTCCTTGCAGTATATAACGAAACTGTATTCTATCGAGTCTAACCCTGCATTTAACTTTGTCTTTAATCCTCTTTATGAGGATTTGTACAACAAAAAGCCTACTCTAGTTTTAAATGGATATCTGTGATACACTAGAAGTTTTACTGTTCTTCGTCAACAGGTTTTTTAATTTTTAACTTTATTGATCTTTGATATAATTATAAACTGTTCTCACTCACACACTCAAATCACTAAACCTTTTCAGATAAAACCTCAATTTAATTGTTATGACAATGGCCTACCTTATTAACGTATCACATTTCTTAATATATGTATTTCCTCAAAATGTTAGTGATAATACGGTGAACTCTGCACAAATGCAAATGGTTTTTAGGTCATATGTGATATAAGGCCATCCAATCGCTGTGTATCGCTCGATGGCGTCCTCTAATTGCTAAAGAAGGACACAATGTCCGGTCAGGGTCTGGAATCAGCATGTCCTGGCGTCATCAGAACATGCTTGGTTTCCGAATGAAACATGAACTTGAACGGTTCTGACAAAATTTGGTTACAAGAGTTCAGGTTCGGTTTCAATTATGGTGGTGAAATGGTGCAAAACCCAACTCAAAAATAACTTAAGCAAATTCCAGCTCGATTCTGACTAGATTTCTGACAAAACGTCCGGCAAATAGGTTGTAGACAGCTCACACATTTACGGCAATGGGACGCCGACAGGATAACAAACCCGATTCTTACAGCATTTGAATAGAAAGAGATAACCAACAAAGACACAAATAGGCATAGGCACTTCATCGCGGATTATTGAAACACCCTGTTATCGAATCGTGCTGATGCTTAATGTTTCCTTATTATACTCACGTGAGTGTACACGTCTTGATATAGGGGTAACATTAATTAGGAGCATGGCTACTATACACCTATAATATATTAAGCAACTTCCCATTTATTTCTATTTAGAATTTCCATTTTTGTAATTAATTTCTTGTGTATATTTTCTTAAACGCATTTGTTTTTGCTGGATGATGATATTGAAATGCAGAAACTGATAAGAGTCATTCTCTGCCAAACCTTTGGGAATAGCTGATTTGGACTATTGGACTCACATGCACACATATAATAATAAAAGGAAGAACCTACTTGCATGTGCTCGTGTGTGTGTGCGCGCGTGCATAGTCAGTCACAACGACTTGGGCGTATGCATGAGTTCAAAGCTCGCCCTTTATAATACCAAACACTGGTTCGGCTTGCTCAGATATAACTGGAATATTCTGATAGCTGCGTTCAGCAACACGCACACAACACAATTAATCATCTTGAAACAAATTTAAACCTCCCCTGAAAAGCGTCTTTACCACGATAGTGGTGCCTTGATAGGTTTACGACTTCAACAACCATCTACATGCAATTCGGAGAAAGACTTTTACTCGATGGAATTCTGTTAAACGTGTAATCGTTTTCTGTCATGTTTTACATTGTAGTATTAAAATCAGAAACAAACAAAAAAAAAACATTAAAAAAACGTCATTGCGTTTAAACCAGTGCCGACTTTCTCTGTAAGTCAGATAGGAAATGCATACTTATTTTGATTCTCACAGGGTGAGTGAGTGAGTGAGTGAGTGAGTGAGTGAGTGAGTGAGTGAGTGAGTGAGTGAGTGAGTGAGTGAGTGAGTGAGTGAGTGAGTGAGTGAGTGAGTGAGTGAGTGAGTGAGTGAGTGAGTGAGTGAGTTCAACGACGCTTTGATAAGTACTCCAGTTATATTGTGTTGGATGTTGGAGGAAAGCGTAAGTGATGCTTGTCTCAGACATTTACCATTTAAGTAAAACCAAGGAACAACTGAACGATGATGACAAGCCGAGAAAGGTGACCCTAGATTTCAACATATGATTCAGGTTCCTGGAGCTGCTTGGGATCTTGCTGAGGTTGGAGGATGACGAAGGTGTCATCCACTTTGCGGTACCAGCAGGAAGGTTTGAAGGGTGCAGTTTCTAGGGCCTTATCAACAACAACCCGAAATGTGTTATTTATAAAATAAACTGTGATTGTGGACAAAGCTACATAGGTGAAACATCCCGACCCATCAACACCCGAGTCAAAGAACATCGCACCTCTGTTGCTAACTCCGACACCAAATCAGCTATCTCTGACCACATCAAAGCAAACCCCAAACATCAAATAGAGTGGTCCGACTTCACCATTCTCGCCAACAACCAAACGGACTTCACTAAACGCAAGCTCACCGAAGCCATTCACATCAAACGCCATAAGCCCACCATCAACCGTGACCAAGGATACTTCATTCCATCAGCTTATGATCCACTCCTCCACCAAGCCCAATCTATTGTATAAACATCGCACCTATTGTATAAACATCTCCTTCATTGTACCACTCCTGTATTTATACATCTCTGGCTTCCATTCACTATCCTTTGTGTACTCACTGGCTTCATCAGCTTACTGCTTAACCAATTATGGCAATTATGTTGTTTCCTTTGTCAATTACAATGTATGCAGTTTCATTGTTATACACAGTATAAATATGCAGCTCCTCCACTTCATGTATCACTCTTGCTTGACAACGGTACAAGAATCTGTATCGAAACGTCGCACCTCACGAAATAAAGAAGTTGTTATCCATAAAAACGTCTCAACTTCTAAAATGCCACTCAAACAAGTTAACTGAAGGTAGATCACCAAACTAGGGACCATGGGGACTTACAGTACTTTTGCTACTTGCATGGACCCTAGTTGGATTTATATCTCCCCTTCAGCCGCTGGCGATTGAAGTCAAATTTAGCCAAAATTAAAATGACAAGAATACTACATTTAAAACAGCTGGTAATATTTAAATTTCCTTTGAATATTTCGGGACGTACGTACCCTCTCAGGAAGACGATAATTTTACGCTACTTCAACCCCTTCAACAAATCGGTTAACAAGTGTATATCTTTTACTATGTATATTGAGAAAACGAAGCGATCGTATGATAACCAAGATGTTTGAAGGGAGGTAAAAAGCTGCGGTTGAAAAGGGAGTTAGTGCAAATTGAATATCAAACATTTTTAAAACAGCCATGTACATTTTAATTTATCTGTATCCTCCATCTGATTTAACAACAGAGTATGTGTTGAATACATTTAAACATTGTTAACAATATTGCATATCTTGCATTAGTTTGGGATAGATACATACATTTAAACCTTTTTAACAATATTGCATATCTTGCATTAGTTTGGGATAGATACATACATTTAAACCTTTTTAACAATATTGCATATCTTGCATTAGTTTGGGATAGATACATACATTTAAACCTTTTTAACAATATTGCATATCTTGCATTAGTTTGGGATAGATACATACATTTAAACCTTTTTAACAATATTGCATATCTTGCATTAGTTTGGGATAGATACATACATTTAAACCTTTTTGATCAATTATAAACATTGCAATTAAATTATCTTGCATATGAATTAACCAGAGAGTCAGTGTGGGTTGAACACGTTAAAACCTTTTTGATCAATAATGAATAGTGCAATTCATCTGCATCTTCCATGTAACTTAACAAGAGGGTAAGTATGGGTTGAACACATTTAACAATTTTTGAACAGTTGTATCTTCCCACAAACTATGTGATACATTTCCATTGAATAAAAACATGCATGTGTGTTACCCTTGGGCAGCTTGTAGTCATTCAATAACTCTTAAATAAGTGTTACGTTCATTCCCATTTTCAGTATTGACAACAGTATGTTTTGTTTCATGGATTAAAAGCAATTATTGTGTACGTAATCCCATTGGAGATTGTAACTCACCTTAGTTAGGTGCTAATTTATGCCCAGGCTCGCTGACCTGGTTGACACATGTCGTTGTCTGCCAACTGATTTGCTTACTCTGTTGATCACGGGTCCAGACTCGAATATTTACAGACATGCGGCACTAAACCCCCCAAAAATTAAAAATAAACAAAGCTAATTTAAACCATGCAATTTGTGTTCTACAAACCATTCTTTATTTTACTGTCTTCTGAAATACAAGTATTAACATATGGGAGTCAACGATTTTGATAGAAATCTTTGGAGGCAATGAATCACTGCCTCCTATTAATCGTAAAATATCCTCAATGACCTTGAAGCAGACAGTGTCACTGTGCCAGGATTACTCAAGGGTTTGACAAACTTTTCACCAATGACGTCACTGTTGCTCATCAAGGGTTTTGAGTATGCCTGCTAAACTACTTAATGTGGACTGCAACTGCTTGTTCGTCCCGGAGACAATTCAAACCTTGTAATACTATTTGCAATACAACCTGTGTTGTATAAGTTACAATAACTCCTCACGAGAAGAGGATTTTTATATACGGACATAAATATGACCTGTCTATGTCACTCAATCCTATCACTGACATAATGTCCGTCCATCAAGTTGGGATTCATTATTATTTTTTTAATTATTTTACGATATTTCTATAGCGCACATATCCAGGCAACTAGTGCTTGCTCAAGGCATATACTAAACTTAGTCAGATAATCTGACTCCAAATTCATTAAGCAACTGCTGTCAATGTTTAGTGAGTATAATGGGATGTGAGACGCATGCTGTTTAAGTCTAGTGAGGAGTCAGAAGGTAGTGTTAGGAGGCACAGGAGGGAATGAAGCAGGCTGTGGATTCATCCAGCAGATGGCCTCCCCACTCTGACAGCTGGTAGCTAACGTCTTGTGGACGGCTCGTAGCTAACCTCCGATGGTTAGTTGTTTAACGCCCCACTCAACAATATTCCAGCTGTATGGCGGCGGTCTGTTTTAACCGAGTCTGTACCAGACAATCCAGTGATTGGTCACACCATGTATATTGGTACTGGGATACGATGGCATGTGTCAACCAGGTCAGCGAACCTAACCAACCGGTAACCAAGCACGGGTTGCTGAAGATCAGTTCTAACCAGGATCGTCACGGGAACAGCGAGAATTAAATAAATGATCCTTGCAATGTCTGAATCCACCAGTTGAGTAGTTGCCAAAAAAATGACAAACAACTGACTGCTGACGGATCTACGTATACGATGCTTTTAATGTGAAACAGGTGAATAGTGCAAGTGTGTGAATAACTATATGCACATATACAAAACCAGATGCATGCTTGCACATATATACATGCATGCGCACACACACAAATCCAAAGATATGATTTTCTATCTGGTGTTGATGATAACTACTTGTAGAATCCACAAGTGAAGTAAAGCTATATTGAATGCAAAGTAAGCCATCTCCATTTAAAACAAATAAAGCCTGTAAGAAACGAAACATTCTATTTTCCTGCCTTGCTTCAAGATAATATATAAAGATCAGCGGAGATAATGGGATAATGAAGCATTGTTTTCTGTAAGTTGGAAGCACAGATAGTAACAACAGAAGTGCAAAAACACATTTATAGATAAAGCTTACTGTCATCTAACATTACAACATAGGGTACATGCTACAGATGTAATCTTAAAATCAGTTTCCCAGGTTTAATGAAATCGGAATATAGATAGAAAACATGATGCTATTGATACATTTAGGGAATCAAACACATACAGTAAGTTGCCCCCCATTTCAGACTTATTGACTGGAGAGTATATGCCACAGTGTTATATGTCACATTAACTGCACCTACAATAGGGGAATTTTTGGAACTGTAGTAGATGGTGCCTCTATACAGTCTCATGTTCCACGGGACGGCGTTCAGTGTGGTCACCTCTGTACTCACATTATTGGACACAGTCATCTTCATCAGTTTCTTCTCTACACCATAATACAACACACCTGCTGTCTGATCCAGGGTTACAGCATACACTTGGCTTCCTGTGGCTAATGTTGTCAGACCTTGACCATCATATGTCACAGTGTACAGTTTACTGTCAGTACACACATATACCCTCTTTTTCTTTGTGTCAAGAGTAACTTGCCTCGGCACGCCCCTGTGCTTGGATAAGTCAATGATGGAAGTGAAGTCTTCACGCTGTGTAGACATGCGGCTGATTGAAGGTCGTGGTTTATAAGTGGACATGAAAACAATGTCCCGATCTTCATCCACTGCCATGCCATATGTTCGTACACGTTCTCTTAATACTGTCACGTGACGTGTATCCACGGTCGATGACACTATCTTATCAGGGTTGACTAACCCTATCAGAAGTTTCTTTGTCTTGGGTATATAGGCGAGGGTACTCACCCCTTTCATGTTGTGATACTGATAGACAGTAAGCGAGTTCCTGTAAATATTGAGTTGACGGAACTGATGTGGTTTACTTGACCAGGTTAGAGCTATCAAAAGCCTACTTTCTTTCTCCTCTGGCCTGGGTGTCGTTGTTGACACAGGTGTCCTGGAGGTTGATGTAACATTTAGAGGAGCGGGGGTAGAAGGAGACACAGTGACATTTGTTATCAGCTTTGACAATTCTGACTGACACGTCTCCTTCAATATGGTGATTCGCTTGATGTCTTGGTTGAGTCTGGTAGTGGTAAGATCGGCCTTCTGAAGCTTTATTTCCAGTCTGTGCTTCTCTTTGACACAGATGTCACTGGAGTTCTCTCGATTCCACAAATCTACTTTATTCAGGAGAGATTCGTGAAATACTGTCGTCTCATTCTGAAAGTCTTTGAATGATCGTGAGACATGATGCAACTGCCTCTTCATCTCATGGTAGCCCTGTTTCAGATGACGCACTTCAGAGGCTACCTGACCTCGCACGATGTCTTGAAGAGACTCCCTTTGCAGGTTCTCTGCCATGGCTTTTCTCACTTCATGCCGTATGTTTTCCTTTAACTCGGCTCTTAAGGATGCCCTGACAACATCTATAGTGTTGAGTATTCTTTCCTCCATAGCGAGCATACCCATCTTATTCTCATGCAGATCCTTCTCAAACTGTTCCAGTTTGTATAGAACAGACACCATTATTGCCTGGCCACTGCAAAAACAGATTAGGGAGATAGACGTCAGCAACCATAGCATGCATTTAAAGTCGGCCATCTTCTGAACTGTAAAAATCCTGTTAGAATGATGTTCTCCGCCAGAATGATATATACATGAAGCCCTTGGGAATGGGTCGATGTTTTCCTGCGAGTGACAGATCGTTGTGAGGTACAGGTTTATATTTACTGTGTTATCACAACGTAATCAGGGTTAAAGGACGGTTGGTTACCAAGTGATATGCCAGAGCACTCACGTATCTCTATATACATAATTTGTAGAGGTCTATCATTAGTGACTTATGCATGTCACGTTGCACTGCATAAGTAATGTACCCACGTAGTTGAAACAACTATGTAGAGTCACCCCCTAAAGAGCACATGGCGAGCTTGGCATGCTCCGTCATTTGTAATGTGTGTCAGAAGCAGTAGTCCATGCCAGACCAAACGGCGACACAGAAACAGACAGAGACAGAGACACATGCCCACACAAGTTACCCAGTGACGAGTTTGTCCTGTCCACGTAGTTTTGTTTTGTAGACTCAAATCAAATAACGTTTATTTAATTATCAAACCTTTTCTTGTGTTGATACTCGTGTTAATGTGTCCAGGATACATGAATGTTATGCTGGTACTTCAGAGCATCGGTCTATGGTCCCCCAACTCCCTTTCGACCATGCTTGTCGAAAGAGTAGTGCCCTAAACTAGCCATTGCCACTCCAAACTCCATTTCGCTAAGGTACCTGGTATGGGGCACTGCTCACTCACAACAATACCTCAGGCAGCCACAGTAAATATTAACTCCGAGGCGACGAGTCTTTGTTTCACCTTTAAACCCAAACGCCAGACAGGGTAACAATCAGTAGCTTCTTTACCATCTGGAAATGGGATCGAAACACTCGTCTTTCTCGTGTGTTTCTATTTTCCGAAAATGAAGCAACTTTGTATTTTCAATCTTTGGACACGGGTTAGAGTTACCCAAGCTTGGATAAAGGTCCACAGTGAAAATAAATGTGGTGTTCAAACCGATTATGGGGATAATAACGTTGAAGTCGTTTCTTAATGACTTATATATATCCCCAGGAGAGCATTTTGTCTAGTATAGTTGCATTCTTCCATCTTCTTTTCAGTGGTTTAAACGATGACGATGCTTGTTGTACTGTCAGTATTTACAAGGATAAAATAGGACTCTCCCAAACACATAGACACATACACACACGGACACATGAAGACACACATGCAGGCTCAAACATACACGTACACATATACGTATATTTCACGTGATATAAGTGCACACATCGTGATTGCTACCTTCAACCCCAATACATGTCACCCCTCCCTAACTTTAAACCTACTTCAGTCATGGTCACCCCTCCCTAACTGTACACCTACTTCAGTCTTGAGATACTGTGAACACCGTGTTTACGAGGGGCCTTGACCTTGACTTGAGGAATACAAATTCCAGCGTAACTGGGTCGCGTTACACCTGGAGACTCTGACATCATGGGTATTTTATAGCTCATGGCCAAACTGTTTACAGGCTCATCAGATGGCGCCCATACCTCACTACCTCAATACTCATTAGTGAGGTTTGTTGGTTTGTATCCTGGCTTTCTCCCAACCATTACCCCACAAAGGTAACGGTTGTCTGTTGATTATAGAGTCTGGACAACGCAACTTGGTGATTGAGCATCCATCCACGCATTTGAGATACGAGGACACACATCAACCCAATCAGCTGGCCTGATCCCCAGATGCATTTAGTTGCGTCTTTTCTATCAACTTGGGTTCGTTAGAGAAGGACGTGTAAAATTAGGTTGCTGTGGATGAGCACGGCGCACAATATCGACCTACCTCATTGTGGTGTAGGTTGTGATAACATGACATGCATGCTGCTGAATTCTAGTGAGGTTGTGGTAATATGATATATGCTGGTAGAATATAGAATGCTACAGAACACTCATGAGGTTGTTTGGTGTGACATGCATGTTGCTGAAGTCTAGTGAGGTTGTGGTAATATGATATATGCTGGTAGAATATAGAATACTACAGAACACTCATGAGGTTGTTTGATGTGACATGCATGTTGCTGAAGTCTAGTGAGGTTATGCTGTAGTAATATGATATATGCTGGTAGAATATAGAATACTACAGAACACTCATGAGGTTGTTTGGTGTGACATGCATGTTGCTGAAGTCTAGTGAGGTTGTGGTAATATGATATATGCTGGTAGAATATAGAATACTACAGAACACTCATGAGGTTGTTTGGTGTGACATGCATGTTGCTGAAGTCTAGTGAGGTTGTGGTAATATGATATATGCTGGTAGAATATAGAATGCTACATAACACTCTTGAGGCTGTTGGGTGTGCCATACATGTTACTGAAGTCTAGTGGGGTTGTTACAGGATGTTTGCATGTTACCGAAGGCTAATGAGGCTCTTGGGGGTAGATTGCTTGTTGCTGGCATGCAGGTTTCTGACGTCTAGTGAGGTTGTTGAGGCGGCATGCATGTTATTGAAGCCCTGTGGGGTTGTTGTGTGTCACGTGCATCTTGCCAAAATCTAGTGAGGTTGCTGCGGGCTACTGAAGGCTAACGAGCGTCTCATGGGTGGAATGCATGTTGCTGACGTGCTGGTAACTGAAGTTTAGTGAGGTTGTTGGTTGCCACGTGCATGCTAGTGTAGTTTAGTAAGGGTATCGGGTGTCACGTGCATGTTAGTGAAGTTTGGTGAAGTTGTTGGCTGTCACGTGTATAACTTATACTGTAGTCTGTTGAGCTTGTTATGTATGGCATGCATGTTCTTGAACTATATTGAGGTTGTTGGGTGTGCATGACTATATTGAGGTTGTTGGGTGTGGCATGCATGCTGTTGAACTATATTGAGGTTGTCCTAACTATATATATTGAGGTGGTCCTAACTGCCAGTTCACCTGATGAAGGGACCTGGAATGGTCTCGAAACGTCGTGAGAGAAATTAAAAAGAATTTTAATCCATAAAAACATATTGGACATCAATGTACAACTTCTAAATGCCACTGAAAGACATTATATTGAGGTTGTTGGATGTGGCATGCACGGTGATAAAGTCTAGTGAGGTTGTTGGGTGAGGCACTTTCCAGAGAACACATAAATGAGTCACATTTTGCCCAGGGGCTATGGGTAGATTTACAGAGCACTGTTTACAGGCTCGACAGAGTATTTGATATCGGTCAGCACACAATCTTTGGACGTTGGCAGGATTACCAACAACGTGTGGCGGAATCAGGAGACGGGAATATGTGTTGCAATCATTTCATCATAGCAGTGCAACGATGTGAGCGGGAATATCCCATACTTGCAAAAACAAACCTGGTGCAGGTGCAAGTCGTCTTGTCAGGCTACCGTCATTGTGATAACAGAACGACATCAACAGCTACACATTCTGTGGAACCGCAATGTGCCAGGTCATAGCCATCCTAAATCCTAAATCACAGACTCTGCAACATGTACAATGTAGCACGTACGGTGTATACGCCGAAGGGCTCACCATTCGTTGTAGAGTTGGGTCCGCCAGGGATATAAGATCCTGGGTTCGAATCCTGGTTTGCATCGATCATGTTTCTACGTTTGTCTTCACCATACCAGTGGTCGTGGTTTTCACCAAAGTGTTTAACGTCTAAACGTCTGAGGTCACGTGGTCTTCCAACATTGTCGCCGCGATTAACTGTAAACAATATTCACTCACTCACTCGTCCCACAATGACAGGCCGTGACAAGTATTTCCTCGTTGGTGTCTAAGTGGTATCCGCCTGAGATCCGGGATTTCATCTCACACAAAGCTGACATGCCGAAGAGTGGAATACTGTATAAAGCGGCTTTAAACTCAACACACTCAGTCGCTATATACGTAAATGGAAAACCATTGATATGTGAAACTCTTTACACTGACACTCATTTTCCTTGAACATGTAAAGGTAGCTGACCATGAATAGTATCTAAAACATCAGCATTGTTGCTATACGATACTGTTTTTCAAACATACAAATCGTGGGTTTCCAGTAAGCACAAACAAAATGGATAGAATGGTCGCAGAAAAAAATGTCTTCTCAAGGACGCACAAGGAAAATGACGAAACTTAATTCTAGGCATGTAATGTATAGTTCCTGCTGTATACACAATGATAACATCTTACAGAACAACTATTCCATCTGATAACTTTACAGAACCCTTATATGTCCTGTGAGGACCATTCAAATTCGTCATAAGTTGTTCTGGTCCAGGAAGACCCTGATACATGCTTCTTCACAAGAGCTCTTGTGTAGAGTTCACGACGACACTGCGATGTCCCATGACTAAATGAGAAGGGTGACCATGTACTGTTCGTCCATCACGTTATTTGTTAGATTGTGTTTGTTATTATTATATCTATCGTTGGATGAAATCTGTACTAAAAGAGTGTCTACTGTACAACTCCGAGGACAATATATACATGTGTGTATGGAATTCAATCAAAATGAAATCAGGGTGATACCAGGTGCGCAAATAAATTAGCATATCCTGCCCCACTGGTGTTACCTTTCATAAATATATGAGCATATCCTGCCCCACTGG